ATGATTAGATGCATTGAATAAAATAAAAATATTTAAACTTTACAATTTTATTATTACAATTTTACTTGAAAAAATATTTTGAAGATACTTAGATGTTTAAAGAAATCAATATAATTTATAAAAACGTAAAATATATTTTTTATTGTTTTACTATGACTATTATTTATTATTTTAATACTTAGATCTCCAATATATAAATTTTAATAAAAAAACTGAATATTAGCAACAGAGATTAATAATTTTTTATTTCAAGTTATATAAACGATATGTTACGAAGTACAAACCTTACAATTTGAAAAAAAAATATTCTAGACGATAAAATAATAATAAAGTTTTATCAGTTTTATGATTCTATTTTCTTTAAGAATATAATATTTCATTCTCTTTATCTTTTTCATGAATAATCGATTCTCTCACTCTCTCTCTCTCTCTCTCTCTCTCTCTCTTTCTATTTTCTTGATGCTCTTGCTATTTATACATATTATTTGGTATCGTGTAGAGAATAGTGCTTTATGTATAAGTAACAACAAAAACAATGTACGGAACTATCAAGATCTAGTGCACAGACATTGTAAAAAAAACTATACGTACCCACTATACAATCTTTCTTTGTCTCTCAAAATTTCTGAAAATATAATGAAGGTATAAATTTCATGAAAAGGAAAAGAAATTGTAGAGAAGAGACAAAGAGAGATGCAGAGAGAGAGAGAGAGAGAGAGAAATACCGAGAGAAATAGAGAGAAAGCAATAAATAGTAAAAGAGATATTAGGAGAGGATAAGAGATTTACAGTGAACAAACTTCAGTAAAATATTATATAAAATATTAATATTTTTTGTAAAATTTTTGTATTTTTAAATTAAAAAAAATTATATAGTATTTTCTATATATTTTGTTATTTAATAGAACCGTGTAAGTTTTACAAAGTTATACATAGTACTAGATATATTTTTCGACACTACAAAATCTGGAAACAGAACTAACTATTCATAAAATAGTAGGTGTAAGTTATATTGCTTTTTATGTTGCTTTTATAATTTTTGCAAGTTAGGTGTTGCCTTTAATTATTATTGTTAATATTCTAAATATCTTATAATGAAAGTAATTAACTCTGACGAGTCTTGCTAATACAACTAAAACAGTATTATGAGTATATTATGTACATTCTAACAACATAATTCTTAATCAAATTCATTAATTATAATAAATATGTTTGAAATGAATTTAATCAACAAATTAAAATAATTATTTTTTAAAAATACACAATATATATTTTAATTTTATAAATTATCATTGATATTAATAAATATTGTATGATAATATTTATAAGTTGAATATTAAAATACCATAATGAATTCAAAATATAAATAACAGTAGATATTTAATTAATGAAATTACCTTCTGAAATATGAATAGATAATGATAATTATTTAAACTATTTATTAAATAAAAAAAATACTTTTAATTTTGATAAACTGAGTATTCCAAAATTGTTTAAGAATTGAAACTAATCATTTATTATTATCCCACATAAGCCTCTCTATGCGTAAATATATGATTAAATTAAATGTTAAATTATTCATATAATTCTAGCCAATATGGAAATTAATAATGAACTCATCGACATATAATCATGATGCAGATTTTAAATAATATGAAGGTGTAATTTATCATAAATTATTACATCTCACTTTAATTTACAGTTTTTAAATTATAACATTTCAAAAGCCATCATAAAAATATTCAAAAATTTAATGAATTTAAATTAGTAAGTAAGAAATTTTATTAATATAATAATGCCTTATATAATATAATTATTTCCAAAAACAATTTTATTATATAAAATTCACTTTGTACTTTTAACTCATTACTCTAAAGAACGAATGAACACACAATAAATAAAATTATATATTATATATGCATATAGAAAAATATATTGTACTTAGAAAAAATAAGCATTCTTAAAGTGATTGAAACTATTAATAGATAATTTTACTACAAAAAAAGAGAACAGAAATATAATTATTATTTACAATTCTTAATTGTATTCGCCTTAATATATAAAACATCACTATTTACGTTAAAAGCCACGTCACTTAGCCTACAGATGTTACACTGTCTGTTGAAGACCCTCATTTTACATCCTCTGTGGATAATATACATAAATGTCATTTTACATCTTATGTGTATAATGTACACGTGTATGTACTTGCATGCTGACGTATGAAAATTACGAACCTAATGCATGTCGTTGGCAGTTTTGACGCTTCGGAGCATTTTGCTTTTGAGAGTCTCACGTGAAGAACATAAACAAACTTGTTATGAATTGCGTCGAAAGGAGTGGTGCATAAGTAGATACCGGAAAAAAAAGAGAACTGATACAGCAATGTATAGGGTCAAAGTGAGAGAGGAATAAAGATAAGTAGAACACGTTTTTTAAATTTTGTGTCATTAAATGAAAATTAAATTATTCTTCATTTTTAAATTATACAAATACGTTTCTGGAGCTATAGAAGGAAGGAAAAAAATTCTTGCAGCTGCACGTAATAATTCAATTAATCACTGCGATTAAATTGAACAAAATCATCGCGTATTGCGTATCATCGTGAACTTGTTACAGCAATATTATTTCATACATTTATTTACAGTTTCTGAGACGACTCAGTGAACAATAAAATTTGGTGTACGACTTATGGTACGTACAAAGGGACGAATTAAATCAAACATTTATGTATTAAAGCCAACATTATTAATGATATGATCTCCTGCTCTTCATAAAAATAATTAATATTATTAAATAACAATAAGTAATTACTATACGTATATATATATACGTATACACTTGCAATCAGAAGAGAATAGAATCCATCCTGACACGTGCGCATGTTAAATATTGAAGCTTAGTTGGAATACATTTAAATGAAATTCCAAATGTTGTTTCTAATTACTTCTTAATATAAGTAAAATTTCATTATATTGTAGTAATTGTAACTCGTTAATTTATTTTTAAAATATTATCATTTATTTAATAAATGTTGTATATGACATTTTATGTATTGAAAATATTTCCTTTGTATCGTACCACGGATAATATAATCAATATCCTTACAAATACCATTATTTATAATAAAAATAACAACAGCAAAAGCAACAGTATATTACATGTGTATAGCAATAATGCAATATATCAAGAAAATTTAAAACAATGAATACATTTATATAAAAGCATATAAATATATAAATATATTAAATTTCATTTTATTTAGGAAACATAATTAGGAATTTGAAAATATTTATTTTCGATTCCATATAATCTACTTTATTAGTATTTATGTTTCATTGTTTAAACAATTGTATTTATATACATACATTTGTATTGTAACTTTGTATTGTACTTGGTATTGTAAAAATATATAAATATAATAAATTTAGTCTATTCTATAAATGTAGATGAACTAATTCATTTATTTGTTTCTAATGGCAAAATAAAGTTTGTTTTGAAACGGACGATAATACAATGATAATACAATGAAATATTAAATATGTTAGAAATATTTAATTAAATACAAAATTTACGAGAAATACTTGATCATCATATTTTATATATTACAACAGATTACGTATTTGGTCAATTTAAGACAAATATTTTTTAATATAATAATGACACTTTATTATTAATAATAATAATAGATGCTTTTATCAATATGTAATTTAATTTCTTTATTTCACTGTAGATTTATTATAATAATTTTATCATTTCAATATTGTATATCGATCCTATTTTTATATCCATTATTGTAGATTATTGAATAGATTAATATATATTGATTGTTATTTTGTTACTATATTATTGTTACTATACTACGTTACAGCTATAGCTCTATTAATTTTGACAACATTTATAAATTTCAAATTTCTCTGGTCAGATATAATATATGATAATATCATAAATTTAGTATTATTTGATATGTTTAACGTTTTCCCAGCTTATAACAATAGTTTTAGTTGATAATTAAAAAACTGTGTAATATTATTCTTTTAGACATTTACTTAACATTTTATATGCATTTTTGTCACATCGATCGTCTAAAGGTCTAAAATAATTTATTTCTAATTTTTTATTCATTTCGCTATAAAAAAAATCTAAAACTTTCACTTTATTTATGACAAATGATATAAATTAAATTCTATATTGGCTTTATAGAAATTTTCATTAATAGTCAAATTAATTTTCAAAAGTTGTTTTTCGGTTTGGAGAATAAGAGAAGTTTATCTACAATAAAATTTCAGTTTGTCGCGTATAAAATAATTTTTGTTTCAATAGAGAAAGAGCATTTTAATTAAGTATTTTCTGTTTCAAAAAGTATTTCTATTTCTTGGTTTTGAAAAACAAATTTATAATATAATACATTGGCTTATTATAGTAGAATACCAATAATTTATTATTAGTTTGTTATATTTAAATAAATATATTATATTATTTTTAGAAATATATTTTATAAATATAGCGATGTTATATTTTATTTAGAAACAATAATTTTTTTTTTTTTTTTTTTGACTTTATAATTAGTTTTACAATTTTGAATAATTATTTGTTAAAATATACTATAGAAAACTCTACCTCTGTATCGCTAATATAACATTATATAATATTAATATACACCGAAAATTAGCTTTATTACATAAATTATAGTACAGGATATAAAATTAAATAGTACGTAATATGATGTACTATTTATTATTATAGGGAATATGAATTCTAAGAAAATTTCATTTTATTGCATGTGAGTTTTGTATTTATGATTCATTTGAATTATAAATATAAATTTATATATTTAATATAACTGAACAAGTATCAGGGTATTTATAAAAAATATATTAATGACCGAGAAGCTGGTTACATATAAATTATAAATTATTCTTTCAATACTAACGTAACTAATAGAGAGTAAATATTGTGCATTAAATATTGTTTAAATATATATAATATGTATGTGCATGTTTTGTCGTACAGGACCTTCAAGTACGTTAATTCGAATGAAATTGGGGTCGAGCCTCGGGGGATGCGAGTGCTAAGGGAGGATGTCTTTGGATCATAATTGGAGGTCAAGGCTAATCTTGATTGTAACGACTGCGTCGATAGTTACAGGGAACTATCATTTCTACGATATCTCGAATTTCCAAGAGCATTATGCTGATTTCCAAAAGCTGTTTAATAATGTGACTCGTGCTTATGGTAAGTTTTTTTTTTGTTTTTTAATCATCCCATGAACACATATTTCCAAAATCTAATATCTAGATAAAAAATAACCTGCTCTTATATATTATATTAATATATTAAATAATTTCGACTTTCATATGAAATATTTATTTTAGTAATTATATTTAGAAAATAATATTACATAAACTAATAATACATTGTTCTCATTTGATTTAAAATTATTCAGATAAGCTATATTGGATTATGCATTATTTTCTTACTTAACTCTACAATAAAATTAAAGGAAAACCTTATAAGCCTAAGTTTTAGCTTATCACTAATTTCTATCACATTAAAGTGAGTATACTAAAAGTTTTATAATTTATAAAAGTAATATATAATTATAAGTTGATATAGTTAATTATTCATCTTATTTTATATGTAAGCGTCAACAAATTCTCTATATGTTAAAACTTTCTTGGAAATAAAAGTTGTTCTGAAAAAATGCACTTTATCTTTTCTGGTAAGATAGTAAAACTACTCGATTGTACTAAATCTCTCTATTTCAATTAATATTTATTATTGGAAGGTAGCAGTGATATCTTATTCTAAACTTTTTCTTTATATGAAGTTATTCCAGTGATTTTTATTAGTCATAATTAGTCATAATAGTCGAATAGATTATAGTTTTTTCTATTGTTTCGTTATAAATTTCTTTTAATTCATAAATCAATATTTATATATTCTGTACTTATAATATCGAGCATATTATAAACAAACTGTGAACCACGCAAAAGTTAAATATTCATATATATGCTTTAATAAAAAAATCGTGTTTTTAATTAAATATATATATATATATATATAAATATAATAAAAATAATTACAGAATATATAAAATGACAAGTCTATATATAATATAATTATATTTTTAACATTATGACGATAAATGGAAATGTTTTGCGTTCAAGTTCTTCGACTATTAATATTTCAAAGTATATTATTTATTAAGTAGTAATAAGTAATCTTTCAAATCTATCGCTACTAGTCATTATTTAATAAGCATTTATCTTTCTTCCATCCAGCTAAAACTTCCGAATATTCTTTAAGCTCATACATAATAATTATATTTAATATTACCTTTCATTTACGTCTCAACAATAATTTTTGAATTCACAACTGTTCGCAAATATTTATAACACCATAATTAATTAATTAATTATACAATCTTTTTTTTTTTACAACAAGATCATTCTCTATCTTTCTGTTTTTTGTTATTTTAGATTCTTTAAAGCACATTTTTTCCGCATAATTTTTCCATCTATATATCTAATAAATCATATAATTTTCCTAATTATAAACGGATAAATAGCTTAATATAATAAACTAATGTTAATTACGACACTAAAATTAATGTAACTACATTTGGGGTTTAATAATTATTCAATCATATATTAAATAAATGCCTTCTATATATTCATCTCATTTCTAGAAAATTTGTAAATTTATAAATTCAACAGCCGATATGTAAAATATTCTTTCGAGTTACCAAAATTCTTCGTAAAGTTTGTTCAATTTGAATACATTTTGTACTGTTCGATTCTAAAGGGTTAGCTTATGGCTCGAACTGCCAATTCAATAGTTCAGTGGATTAGTCTCTCGGCAGGATAATTTTAAAGGAAATCAATAACAGACAAGACTGAAAAATATAATATATTTATTAAAACAAGATGGTTAATGATTGTAAAACAATTATTATAATATTGCACTGTTGTGTAGAAATAAATAATTCTGTTGGATTATTCAATTGATGTGTTCTTGTAATTCTTATGCTATGAAAGCCTTTATGGATATTACTGTGTTGCTTTGTGAGGTTATGCTGATGTTGTCAATGTCAGCTGATGTAGTCAGTCAATCATGCTTGTGATGTAGCATGAGAAGATGGTAGTTGAATCAAGTATGTTTGATGTATGAATAACCATACTTGATATGGTGTGAGATGTTTAATGGAATTTATTAAGTAATCAATTGTGTCTTTAATTATGTAAGGGGACAGTGGAAGAATTTAGTCAAAGGTAAGAGTAATTAATGGTGAGATTTCTAACTCGTGAAGTATTTAATAATCTGAATTTATAGTCTATTAGTCGTTTTGTTGTTGTCTTTGTGTGACAATGTGCTCGAAGGCATAGCGACTCCTGCGTCAGCTGTTGATGGCCTGTACGGTTCCGAAGTGTTCTTCGAAAGAGTGCCCGGTTGTACTCTCACTGGCGTGTCTTAGTGGTCCGAAGTGTTCTTCGGGAGAGCGTGTGTGTGTCCTCTCTCTCTGCTAGCGGGCCTGTACGGTTCCGAAGTGTTCTTCGGAAGA